CTGGGGCCTTCGGTGGAGCTCCCTAGGGGGCCACCAAACATGTGAGGAGTGTGCCGAAATGGGGCGGGGTCGCCATGCGAACCCTGCCACTAGGGCCTTCGGTGGAGCTCCCTACGGGGCCACGAAACGTGTGAGGAGTGTACCGAAATGGAAGCGGGGCCGCCATGCGAACCCTGCCACTGGGGCCTTCGGTGGAGCTCTCTATGGGACACGAAACGTGTGAGGAGTGTGCCGACATGGGGTGGGGCCGCCATGCGAACCCTGCCACTGGGGCCTTCGATGGAGCTCTACATGGGGCCGCGAGGCGTGTGAGGGGTGTGCCGACATGGGGCGGGGCCGCCATGCGAACCCTGCCACTGGGGCCTTCGGTGGAGCTCCCCATGGGGCCACGAAACGTGTGAGGAGTGTGCCGAAACAGAAACCTGCGGAGGGCCCGGCGGAGGGCAGAGGCACAGAGACGGAGGAGGGAGGAGGGGGAGGAGGAGAGGAGAGGAAGGAGACGTGGGGCGCTGTCTTTTCAAAACGAGGACCCACCACCACAGGATGGTTGGGAAACAAGCCCAAGCGAAAACCCAACTCCCGGGAATCTGGTGTGTCAAATTATCCTGGCGAAGGACCCCACCATATGCAAACGTGAATACTGCAGGGCAGGTGGGACGAAGCAAAAAGAATTCCCAATTTGGCCACGAACCGTGTGAGGGGTGCGCCACACTGGGGCGGGGCCGCCATGCGAACCCTGCCACTGAGGCCTTCGGTGGAGCTCTCTATGTCCCTGCGGGGCCACGAACCGTGTGAGGGGTGCGCCAATATGGTGAGGGGTGCGCCAAAATGAGGCGGGGCCGCCATGCGAACCCTGCCACTGGGGCCTTCGGTGGAGCTCCCTATGGGGCCACGAACCGTGTGAGGGGTGCGCCAAAATGAGGCGGGGCCGCCATGCGAACCCTGCCACTGAGGCCTTCGGTGGAGCTCCCTATGGGGCCACGAACCGTGTGAGGGGTGCGCCAAAATGAGGCGGGGCCGCCATGCGAACCCTGCCACTGGGGCCTTCGGTGGAGCTCCCTATGGGGCCACGAACCGTGTGAGGGGTGCGCCAAAATGAGGCGGGGCCGCCATGCGAACCCTGCCACTGAGGCCTTCGGTGGAGCTCCCTATGGGGCCACGAACCGTGTGAGGGGTGCGCCAAAATGGGCGGGGCCGCCATGCGAACCCTGCCACTGGGGCCTTCGGTGGAGCTCCCTATGGGGCCACGAACCGTGTGAGGGGTGCGCCAAAATGGGCGGGGCCGCCATGCGAACCCTGCCACTGAGGCCTTCGGTGGAGCTCCCTATGGGGCCACGATCCGTGTGAGGGGTGCGCCAAAATGGGCGGGGCCGCCATGCGAACCCTGCCACTGGGGCCTTCGGTGGAGCTCCCTATGGGGCCACGAACCGTGTGAGGGGTGCGCCAAAATGGGGCGGGGCCGCCATGCGAACCCTGCCACTGGGGCCTTCGGTGGAGCTCCCTATGGGGCCACGAACCGTGTGAGGGGTGCGCCAAAATGGGGCGGGGCCGCCATGCGAACCCTGCCACTGGGGCCTTCGGTGGAGCTCCCTATGGGGCCACGAACCGTGTGAGGGGTGCGCCAAAATGAGGGCGGGGCCGCCATGCGAACCCTGCCACTGAGGCCTTCGGTGGAGCTCCCTATGGGGCCACGATCCTCGTGAGGGGTGCGCCAAAATGGGCGGGGCCGCCATGCGAACCCTGCCACTGGGGCCTTCGGTGGAGCTCCCTATGGGGCCACGAACCGTGTGAGGGGTGCGCCAAAATGAGGCGGGGCCGCCATGCGAACCCTGCCACTGGGGGCTTCGGTGGAGCTCCCTATGGGGCCACGAACCGTGTGATTGGTGTGCCGAAATAGAGACATGCGGAGGGTGATGCTGATGATGACGCCGAATATCATGGTGATGTTGATGATGACGATGATGATGATGATGATGGCAGGAGGGAGGGGGCAGCGGGAGGAGGAGAAGGAGGGAACGCGGGGCACCGTCTCTTCAAAACGAGGACCCAACACCACAGGATGGTTGGGAAAAATTGTACGCGAAGGGGGGCCGAACATCTTCCGGACGTATCAGGGGAGAGAGGAGAGTAGTATTCATATCGTGTAATTGTAAAATGGGAGGGGGACGCGTGAGGAGGGGGAAGGGGAGGGGGGAAGGAGGGAGAGCGGGACACATGGTCGTAATCTGTGTATATATACATATATATATATATATATATATGTGTGTGTATGTGTATATATATATATATATATATATATAGAGATGTGATTGTGTGGGTGTGTTGACCTCCTGGGAGGGGGGCCCTAAGTAAGGAGCACCCCTCATTTGACCGATCTCTTCCAAGATGGCCCCAAGATGGCCCCCGACAAGGGTGTCCCAAGATGGTCCCAAGAGGGGTCAACATGTGGCCTGATTCTGACACCCTCCTCCGTGTACCCATTTTGGCTCAAGATGAAAAGAGATCTTGTTGCTAATCAACACATTATCTCATCATGGTAGCGTGAGCTGGCCACTCACTGCTGCGACCCACCAGGGCCTCGCGGCGCGCGCGGCGCCACGACGAGCTGGCAGGGCGCGTGGCCCGAGGCAAGAGGCTGGAAGAGAGCGGCATCAGCCGCACCGAGCACAGCGGAGGCCGGACCACCGGCAGAGGTTGAGAGGAAACCACCGAAGAGCGGCCGCAGGCGCGGCAAGAGAAGTGACGCAGCTGTCGAGAATCGAAGACGACAGTTGGAGTTCAAACACGGCCTGAAGGACACGGGCAACAAGTTGCACGACCTCGCGTACATCGAGGACCATCCCTCGGAGAACTCGTCAGGAGCTATCGAGGAGGCGAAGAAGGAGGTCTTGGACCAGATCATAGACCTCGAGCGTACGAGACAGGAGATCTCAGAGCGCAAGGAGGAGCTCGCCAGGAAGCACGCAATTAAACATGGACGAGCAAGTTCGGCAGCAGTTCGACTTACTCAGGCGGGAGTTCGCAGCCCGCATGAGTCAGACCGTCGACGAGATGAGGAGGCTCGAGAACGAGAATCAGCGGCTTCAGCAACAAGTAGCCGGAGGCCTCGCGGCGATCCCGCAGGCGATCGAGCGCATGGGCGAACAGATCAGAGGCGCGTCGAGCACGGGAGGAGCCGCACACGGTCTCGTCGACACGAAGGGCATCGGCAAGCCCACGACGCTAGGCGACGATCAGGAGAAGTTCGGAGCCTGGAACCGCAAGATGGAGAACTACGTGATAGGCGTATACGGAGAGAGCTTCCGTCCTGTTCTCCGGTGGGCGGCAGAAGCCGAACGCCCCGTGACGATCGACGGGGCACAGGAGGCGCACGGAGGAGTACCAGAGCTGGTGACCAAGATCAACCAGCTGTACGCGGCGCTGATCAGCACGACAGCGGACGGCAGCGAGAGCAACGACCTCGTGACGGGCGCACCAGACGGGAACGGTCTCGAGGCCTGGCGGAAGCTTCACCGCAGGTGGGACCCGACGACAGGTCCGAGGAAGAGGCTGATCCTGAGGTCGATCATCTCGCCTCCGAAGTGCAACGCGGAAGAGCTGGGGTCCGCCTTAGAGAAATGGATCCAGCAGATAGGCAAGTACGAACGCCGCCAAGGAGAGGACGGGCTGGCCGAGCTGCCGGAGGATATCAAGATGGCGGCCAACGAGATGCTCGTGCCTCAGGACATCGAGAACCACCTCGTACTCAACAAGCATCGGCGCGTAACGTTCCAGGACAGTCTGAACGAGGTGATGACGATCGTGGAGGCTCGGACAGGCGTGAAGATCAAGGAGCCATCGATCCGCGCACGGGCGCACCATCCGGACGACATGGACGTCGGATCGTTCGGAGCCCCGAAAGGAAAAGGCAAGGGCAAGGGCAAGGACGGCAAGAGCAAAGGGAAAGGCAAGACCCAGGAGACGAAGGGGAAGAGCAAATCGACGAGCGGATCATACTCAGGCTCCCGCACGTCCCCGACGGGTTCGGGCCGTGGTTCCGGGCCCACGGCACCCCGAAGCACAGGCGTGCGCTTCGACGGCTACTGTCGGAACTGCGAGAGATGGGGCCACAAGGCATCCGAATGCTGGAGGAAAGAGCAGGGATCGAGTACGAGGGCTGGAACTGGATCCGCAACGGGGGCAAGCGCTGGTGGTAAAGGTGGTGGCCGCGGCGGCAAGGCCGGCGGCAAGGCTGCAGGCAGCCTGGAGGAGGAGCCTGAAGCGGAGGTCGCCGCCCTGGACATGGGCAGCCTGGATTGCCTGGAGCTCGCCGGCGGCAGCGGCCGCGGCGTAGCAGCGGTCGACCTCTCTCCCTTCGCGCAGGACGACTGGATGAAGTTCAACTGGGACAGCGGTGCAGCGGTCTCAGCATTCCCTCGGAGCTTCGCGCCGCCGACGGGATTGAAGGGCAACGGCAGCACGTATCGCACGGCCAGTGGTGAGCTCGTCCCGGACGAGGGCAGCTTGCAGCTCAAGGCGGAGGATGAGTACGGAGTGCTACGAGCGCTCAAGGGACGCGTGACGAACGTGCACAAGCCGTTGATCTCGGTGGGGCAAGCAGCAGGAGCTGGACAGCGTTCGTTCCTGGGCCGCAATGGCGGCTGGATATTCCACGAGAAGAGCCCAATCGGCAAGCGTGTGGTAGGCATGCTGGAGAAGGAGGCGAAGACGGCGAAGCACCAGATGCTGCCGGTCTATCGTGAGCAGGGCGTTTACAACTTCTACCTCAAGAAGGGCCAACATGGCTCGGTTGCTCCTCTCGAGGAGGGATTTTCGGCGAAGTCGAAGTCCGAGCTGGTGGAGCTACTCAGCGGCAAGTCGAAGGAGGAGCTGCTGGAGATCCTCGAGAGGACAGTCCCCAGGAGGCAGCCCTCGGCGTAAGTCCACTGGAAGACTCAATACAGCAGTCCCCTGCGGCATCGGCTGCAGGGGCAGCAGCGGCGGGGTCGGGACCTTCCGACATGAGACCGCCGGGTTTTCAGCCAGCAGCAGCTGCGGCGGCTGACGCTTTGCCAGCTGCTCCTGATGGACAGCAGGCCGACGAGGGCGAGGAGGAGGCTCGCCCGAGGGTGCTGAAGGCACCTCATGAGCCCTCTCAGAGGGAGATCGCCGAGCACGAGGCGATGGGACACGCGACTTACCGCAGCTGGTGTCGCGTGTGCATTGCGGCAAAGGGCCAAGGCCAGCCGCATCTCCGCGCACCGGAGGACGACGAGACGGCGGTGCCGGTGGTCTCGTCCGATTACGCCTTCATGGGCCAGGACGACGCGGACACCATGCCGATGCTGGTCCTTAGGGATCGACGTTCGAAGATGATGGCAGCGACATTCGTGGAGAAGAAGGGCGACGACGCCTACGCCATCAAGTTCTTCGCACGCTTCTTACGGATCCTGGGCTACAGGAAGATCGTCAACAAGTCCGACGGCGAGCCAGCGATCCTGCTGGTCAAGAGGCGTGCGGTGGAGGAGGTTCCTGGCCTCGAGGCCATTCCCCAGGAGTCGGCACCGGCCGACCATCAGGCCAATGGGGAGATCGAGGTCACGGTGCGCGAGATCAAGAAGCAGGTGCGAGCGCTCAAGATGGACCTGGAGTCCAAGCTGGGCGTCAAGGTGGAGGACAAGCACCCAGTGCTAGCGCACCTGCCGGAGCACGCCGCATCGGTGATCAACCGATACAGGCGCGGCCAGGACGGCAAGACCGCTCTTCAGCGGCTCACGGGACGGCAGTGGAGGAAGCCGGTCCCGCTCTTCGGCGAGCGCCTGATGGTGCGGTTCGCCGGGGAGCGCACGAGGAAGAACGCGCTGGAGGAGCAGATGGTGGAGGCCCGCTACATCGGCCACCACCCGCGCGACGGCTCGATGATGGTCATCACGAGCGACGGTGTGAAGAAGGCGGTCGGCTTTCGCAGCCTGCCGCAGAGCGAGAAGTGGATCACGGCGGGCTGGGACAGCCTGAAGGGCCTGCCGTGGGACGTGGCTCCGCGTGCGGCCAGTGCGCCGCGAGCCATCGTCGGACCGGGAGAGGCCGGTCCGCCACCGATTGTGGTGGCGCCGCCGCAGCCGCAGGCGCCGAGGAGGATGTACGTTCTCAAGGCGGACGTCGAGCGGCTGGGCGCAACGCCGGGATGCCCAGGGTGCGTCTCGATCGCCAAGCACGGCAAGGTGCTGGCTGGCCATGCGCACAACGCGGTGTGCAGCAAGAGAATCTTCGAAGCGCTGGACGCTGAGGAGGCAGGCCGGGAGAGGACCGGCCAGTATCGAGAGCGGAGGCAGGGCCAGGAGGCCAGAGTCCGCCCAGCGGCAGCGGCCGCGGCAGGGACCCCTCCGCCGAAGACGGCTCGGAGGATCACCGAGCCAGTGGCAGCGGCGGCGTCGGCGCCGGCCGCGAGCCGACCAGCAGCAGCGCCAGCAGCAGCGGCGCGCATGCGAGAGAGCCAGCCGGGAGCATCAGGCTCCGGCGTGGCGGCTCCTTCAGGAGGAGCGAGCTCCAGTTCGGGAGCAGTGAGAGCGGCAGAGGCCGCCGAGGATGTCGACATGACCGCGACCAGGTCGCGGCTGAAGCGCTTGGCGGAGGTGGCCCCGGATGACGTGCCGGAGGCCCTCGAGCGCGGTGATCCACAGCCGGCAGACGTGCCGGTACCGGTGGACATGGAGGATCTCGCGGCGCAGCCGGCGCCAGCGGAAGGACCTCAGCTGCCAGCTGGAGTGGCAGTCGTGTGGAACGCCAGCGAGGGGAGACACATGCGGGTGCTCGCTCTCGACGTGGCGTCGATCGAGCTGGTCGAGCTCGGAGTGCTGACGAGAGCGAAGGCGGAGTTGCTTCCGCTCGTTCGCGAACAGGTCAGCGGCCATTGGGCCAGTGTCGGCGTGGACATCGCCGACGAGGAGGTGGACAGCATCGCCTTATCGGCGTTGCAGCTGGGCGCCGTGGACGTGGCAGAGGTGTACTCGCCGCATCGGTTCTCGGCGCGAGCGGCGGAGTTCCAGCTGCGCCCGGGCTTCGCGGCGGACCTGGAGGAACTCAAGGAGGACGGGACGCCGTGGGACTTGCGGCGACCCGAGGACATCAAGGAGCTCGAGGAGCTGCAGGAGCGGATGGATCCCATCCTGCTTACCGGGTCCCCTCCATGCGAGAAGTTCAGCTTGCTGAGGGGCCTGAGCGCCAAGTTCAGGACCGATGAGCAGGAGGCGGCTGAGATGGAGGAGGCCAGACACCACCTGAAGGTGGCAGTCGACGCCTACTGGCGTCAGCTCAGGAAGCCAGGTAGGTACTTCCTGCATGAGCATCCCTGGAGTGCGCGATCGTGGGATGAGGACATCATCAAGGAGCTGGTCGCGCATCCAGGAGTCTTCACGGTCAAAGGCCCCATGTGTCGGTGGGGCATGAAGCTCACGAACCCACGCAGTGGCCAGGAGGAGTTCGTGCGCAAGGAGACCGGGTGGGTCACCAACCACCCAGGCTTGGCTCGGAGACTGCAGGGCACTTGCAGCAATGTGGACGGCCGCGCAGAGTGGCATCGCCACATCACGCTCGTGGGAGGCATCGCACGGTTCGCGAAGGTCTATCCACCGAAGTTGGTGGAGGCGGTGCTGGAGGAGCTCAAGGACACGCTGAACGACGTGGGGGAGCTCAGCACCGCCCAGGTGCAGCAGTCGGGCCCAGTCCCGGTGGACGCGGCGGTGCCGCCCGGGGACTGGACGAGCTACTGGGACGACGTCAACGGCGGCTACCTGGAGGCAGGCCTTGTGGCCCAGGCTCGCGCGGTCGAGCGCGAGTGGGTCAAGAAGCAGGAGCTGATCGAGATCGTCCCGAGGTCTCAGGCTTTCGCTGAGACTGGGCGTCCGCCCATCCCACTCAAGTGGGTCGACACGAACAAGGGTGACGCGGAGAGGCCCAACTACAGGAGCAGGCTCGTCGTGAAGGAGATCAAGGCGAAGAAGCGTCCGGACGAGCAGCTGGAGGCGTCCGAGGTCTTCTCGGCAATGCCTCCTCTGGAGGCCATGCGGTCGCTGGTCTCGCTGATGGTCACGTGGACGCGGGAAGCACCGCTCCACATTCAGGAGTCGCTTCGCAAGAAGGGCAGGAAGCCGGGCAACTTCAAGATCGGCTTCTTCGACATCAGCAGGGCGCACTTCTACGGGAAGGCGCAGCGGAGGATCTTCGTGGAGCTGGAGGAGGAGAGTCGCAAGGAGTACGGCGAGGACAAGTGTGGCTTACTCCTCAAGTCCTGGTACGGCACGCAGGACGCCAGCAAGATCTGGCAGGGCGACTACACGGAGCTGTTGGAGGAACACGGCTACAAGGCGGGCATGTCATGCCCAGCGGTCTTCTACAAGGAGGAGGACGAGACGAGGCTGCTGGGGCACGGCGACGACTTCGCGGTGCTGGCCCAGCAGCAGGACATTGACAGCTTCGAGGCCACGTTGGGCAAGAAGTACGAGTTCAAGAAGACTGCGAACCTCGGCTTCGACGAGGGCGACGACAAGCAGGCGGTCTTCCTGAATCGGGTCATCGAAGTCGGCGGCGCTGGGAGCGGCGGAAGCTTCGCGCTTCCGATCCCTCACCATGAGGGTAGCCTACCTGTCTCAGGACAGGCTGGACTTGGCAGAGGCATCGAAGACGCTCGCCAGGTCTATGCAGACGCCGACGGAGGCGAGTTGGCTCATGCTCAAGAGGGTCGGCCGCTACCTCAAGCGGCATCCCAGTACGGTGACGGTCTTCACGGAGCAGAAGATGTTCGACAAGATCCGAGTGTACGTGGACTCCGATCATGCGGGCTGCGCAGTCACTCGGAAAAGTACTGGAGGCTTCGTGGCGATGCTGGGGCATCACGTCATCAAGCACGGCAGCAACTTGCAGTCGACGGTCTCTCTGAGCAGTGGGGAGAGCGAGTACTACGCCCTGGTCAAGGGCGGGAGCGTGGGCCTGGGTCTACACAGCCTCTTCGCAGACTGGGGGCTGGACCTGAAGGTGGAGCTCGCCTCGGATTCATCGGCGGCCCGGGGCCACGTCCAACGGCGAGGTCTCGGGAAGATGCGACATGTTCAGTCACGATACCTGTGGATCCAGGAGCGCGTGGGCAAGGGCGACCTCTCGATCGCCGCAGTTCCTGGTAAGAACAACGTCGCGGACGTGCTGACTAAGAGCGTGGGCGGATCTCTCTTGAGGAGACACATGGCGACGCTCAACATCTGGGATCGGGCACCGAGTTCGACCCAGAAGGACATCAAGTGAAGGAGTGGATCGAATCCATGCTCCGCTACCTGTGGGGCTGGATGAGTTTCCGCCGGTGGCGGTAGGATCGCACCGGACGGGTGAAGTGAGGGGCTCGCGGCATGGCCGCAGCCCGGCTGACGAAATGGGCGCGTCGGCTTGGACGCGCCCGCGTGTGACGAGATGGGCGCGTCGGCTGGGACGCGCCCGCGTGTGACGTTGAGATGGGCGTGTCGGCTTGGACGCGCCCGCGTACGACGCATGTCGTGCCTGGCCGGGTTGGCGGCCAGGCCCGAGGAGGAGTGATTCTGACACCCTCCTCCGTGTACCCATTTTGGCTCAAGATGAAAAGAGATCTTGTTGCTAATCAACACATTATCTCATCATGGCCAAATTTGTTTTTAACATCAATGATCCTGGCTTTCTCGCCGAGGCCATCTTGAACGTTCCAACGACCCGCGACCCCTCCCCTCCCCTAGAGACCCAGGGGGAAGGGATAGGGGGAGGGGTCAAGCTACCTCCCTAGGTAGCAGGCCGTCTACCTCACTCCCACCCGCCCTCCCAACACATGAGTAACACCCGAGTGTCAGCAGATCGCATAGGAACGCCACACATGCCATGCGCGCCACGGCTTCCAGGTGCACCAGGCACCCTGGAGGCCCAAGTGTGCCCGTTGCGGCACATGCTCCACGAGCGCCAATTGTGCCACGTGCTCCAGCTGCGCCAGGTGCTCCAGCTACGGGGGACCAGTTGGAACCCCAGGTACCTGGGGCCCTGGCCCCAAGGAGCTCAGGATCTGGAATCCCCCTGAAGCGAAATGCCGAGCATTCTGTGAGAAGGGCGGCTCTTCCAGGGAGCGCATAAGACCGGCACCGATTGACAAATTGTGACATTTTGAGGAGTCGTGAAACAGATGAGAGCTTAAAGAAAGAGGGCCCTGCGCATGCGCCAGATTTGGAGCCAAAGTGTACAGTGGCGTTTTATAATACATGCTCCGCGTGCGGATCATGTATTAAACATGTATGGATTTTTATTCAAAACAACGATGAGTTCATTTATACGTTCATTCCTAAATTTTTCATGTATTAACTATCATATCTTTTTTAAAATCCTATGTATTACAAACTGCCCTGTATGTTTGTATCGAAGACGCCTACGGCGAACCACCGCCGCCCCCTGCCATTGTGGAAGCGCCTATGTGGCCGACAGCTGGGCTAGAGCTTGGCCAAGCTATCGGACCATGTGTTCCCCGAATCGGGTTGGAAAGCCTTCGGGGAACACGTGGGCATCTTGAAGGTCATCTTGGCCGTCTTGGAGGCCTCTTGGGCGATCTTTCGGCGATCTTTGGGGGCTCTTGGGCCGTCTCGGGCCGTCGGAAGGCCGAAAAGAAGGAAATGTCAAAATCCGTCAAAAACCTCAGGGAAATCAATGTTTTTTGGTCTCTTCTGGCCTTCCTGGAGGCCCTCTTGGGGGCCTCTTGAGCCGTCTTGAGCCAGCTTCGAGCCAACTTCGGCCATCTTGGTGGGTTCCTGGCACGTCTGACGCCGTCGGGAGCCGTCTTGGGGGCCTTTCTGGGCCAGCGGGGGATCCTCTTGGGGCGCTTCGGGGCCGTCTTGGAGGCCATCTTGGCCGTCTTGGAGGCCATCTTGGGCGTCTTCGAGGCCTCTTGGGCCGTCTTGGGGCCCTCTTGGGGCCATCTTGGAGGCCACTTCGGCCGTCATGGGGCCCTCTTGGGGGCCTCTTGGGCGATCTTGGGGGGCTCTTGGACCGTCTTGAGCCGTCTGAAGGCCGAACAGGCGAAAATGCCAAAATCCTTCAAAAACCTAAGGAAAATCAATGATTTGGGCCTCTTCGGGCCCTCCTGAAGAACCTCTCGACGGGCTCTTGGGCTGTCCTTGAGGCCTCTTAGGGGCCTCTTGGGCCGCCTTGGGCCATCTTGAGGCTATCTTAGGCCGTCTTGGGTACATCTTGGGCCGTCTTGGAGGCATCTTAAAGCCATCTTAGCCGTCTTGGAGGCCATTCTGGCCGTCTTGGAGGCATCTTGGAGGCCATCTTGGAGCCGTCTTGGGCAGGAATTTGGGGAATTGAGGTCCTTGGCAATCCTCCCGGGACCCCGGCGGGACGCGCCGGAGCCCCAGGGGGAGTTTTTTTTGAAAAAGAACCAAAACCAAAACCGTAATAGTCTGGAACGCCAGGCACCCCTGTGATGAATCAAGAGGGGGCGGCGGATCGAAGACGCCTACGGCGAATCACCGCCGCCCCCTGCCTTTGTGGAAGCGCCTATGTGGCCGAACGTTGAGGCCAGACCTGCCAAGCTATCGGACCATGTGTTCCCCGAATCGGTTTGGAAAGCCTTTGTGGAACACGTGGGCATCTAGAAGGTCATCTTGGCCGCCTGGAGGCCATTTTACCTAACAGCGAAGACTGATAGGTTTCTAGTTGACTCAAAAGAGCTCACAGATCACTCCACAGGGGGGTCCGGGCAGGTGTTGGGGAGTTGCCGGGCGGCAGGGTGCCGGGCTCGTTTTTCACCAACAGTCACACACTTCGTGCTCTTCGACTTCCCAGAACTCCATTCCCAGGCCACATTCTGAATACCCGGATGCAACAGTCACACACAAAGTGCTCTTCGAGATCCCAGAACGCCATTCCCGGGCCACATTTAGAATAACCGGATGCAACAGTCACACACTTCGTGCTCTTCGAGTTCCCAGAACTCCATTCCCGGGCCACATTTGGAGGGCCGGATGCAACAGTCACACACTTCGTGCTCTTCGAGTTCCCAGAACTCCATTCCCGGGCCACATTTTGATGCCCGGAGCCAACTGTAGGCCACTTCGTGCTCTTCGAGTTCCCAGAACTCCATTCCCGGGCCACATTTTGAATGCCCGGAGCCAACTGTAGGCCACTTCGTGCTCTTCGAGTTCCCAGAACTCCATTCCCGGGCCACATTTTGAATGCCCGTAGCCAACTGTAGGCAACTTCGTGCTCTTCGACTTCCCAGAACTCCCATTCCTGGGCCACATTTTCAGCAGGGGCAAGAGCACGACGAGGAGGAGGACGAGCAAGACCAGGAGGACGAGGACGAGCAGGAGCAGGACGAGGAGCAGGAGGAGCAGGAGAAGAAGGACGAGCAGGAGGAGGAGGAGGACGAGCAGGAGGAGGAGGACGACCAGGAGGAGGAGGACGACCAGGAAGAGGAGGAGGAGGAGGAGGAGGAGGAGGGGGAGGAGTACCAGGAGGAGGAGGAGGAGGAGGAGAGGAGGAGGAGGAGGAGGAGGAGGGAGGAGAGGAGGAGGAGGAGGAGGGGGGGGAGAGTACCAGGAGGAGGAGAACGAGGACCACCAGGAGGAGGAGGAGGAGGAGGAGGAGGAGGAGGAGGAGAGAACACCAGGAGGAGGAGGACGAGCAAGACGAGGAGGACGAGAACGAGGACGACCAGGAAGAGGAGGAGGAGGAGGAGGAGGAGGGGAGGGGGAGGACTACCAGGAGGAGGAGGAGGAGGAGGAGGAGGAAGAGGAGGAGGAGGACGAGGAGGAGGAGGAGGAGGAGGAGGGAGGGGGGGGGAGAGCACCAGGAGGAGGAGAACGAGGACCACCAGGAGGAGGAGGAGGAGGAGGAGGAGGAGGAGGAGGAGAGCACCAGGAGGAGGAGGACGAGCAAGACGAGGAGGACGAGAACGAGGACGAGCAGGAGGAAGAGGAGGAGGAGGAGGAGGAGGAGGAGCAGGAGAAAGAGGAGGAGGAGGAGGCAGGCTGAGGCTGAGGCTGTGACTGCGACTGCCGTTGCCGCTGCGACTGTCATCGCGAATGCGACTACGACTGCGAGAACAGCATAATTCGACAACTGGATTTTCATCTGAATCTTAAGGGGAATGCTTTCAGATATGCTTCTACACATCGCTGTTAGGTTGCTTTGCCGGGATAATTGACCCTTTCGGGCCTTCTTGGAGGACGTCTTGGAGGGCTCGTGGGCCGTCTTGGACGCCATCTTGAGCGTCTTGGAGGCCTCTTGGGCCGTCTTGGGGGCTTCTTGGGGCCGTCTTGAGCGCTTCTTGGACCGTTCTGGGGTCATCTGGGTCATCTTGGAGGCCTCTTGGGCGATCCTTGGGCGATATTTGGGAGCTCTTGGGCCGTATCGAGCCGTCGGAAGGCCGAAAAGAAGAAAATGCCAACATCCGTCAAAAACCTTAGGAAAATCACTCTTTTTTGGCCTTTTTCTGGCCTTCCTGGAGGCCATCTTTGAGGCATCTTGGGCTGTCTTGGGCAAGGTGCGAGCCACCTTCGGCCATCTTGGTGAGCTCCTGGCCCGTCGGAAGCCGTTTCGGGGGCCTTTCTGGGCCGACTTGGGGCCCTCTTGGGGTGCTCCAGGGCCGTCTTTGAAGCCATCTTGGGCGTCTTCGAGGCCTCTTGGGCCGTCTTGGCGCCCTCTTGGGGCCGTCTTGGGGGCCTCGTGGGCCATCATGGGGCCATTTTGGAGGCCTCTTGGGCGATCTTGGGGCGACCTTGGGGGCCTCTGGGGCCGTCACGGGCTGTCGGAAAGCCGAAAAAGCGCAAATGCAAAAATCCTTCAATAACCTACGGAAAATCAAAGATTTTGGCCTCGTCGGGCCTTCCTGGAGGACCTCTTGGAGGCCTCTTGGGCCGTCTTGGAGGCCTCTTGCGAGCCTTTTGGGCCGTCTTAGACCATATTGGGGCCATCTTGGGCCGTCTTGGATGCGTCTTGGGGCCGTCTTAGCCGTCTTGGAGGCCATCTTGGCTGTCTTGGAGGCATCTTGCAGGCCATCTTGAGCCATCTTCGCGATTTTTTGAGGATGTCCCGAGCGAAACGGCAGTTTGGGGCGTTGACCGACGCAGTTTCTGGGTGGCCGGCGGGACGTGCCGGAGCCCCAGTGGGAGTTCTTTTGGAAGAAGAACCAAAACCAAAACCGATAGGATTCGGCACGCCAGGCACCCCTGCGATGAATCGACAGGGGGCGGCGGATCCAGCTGCCTACGGCAAGTCCCGCCACCGTGCCTGGG